CCCCCCAAAAAAAACCCTCTTTTTATTTCGACGGCTGTGAAACATGGTCATTCCCAGCCCGCAACGACTCACAAACAGTCTGCGAAGAGTCCTGCAGAAGTCTGCCAAAGTCTTTCGGGGCAAGGCTGAGAAACGCCCACCTTTCTCTCCCTTGAAACGCTGCCGGAGCCTTCAATGGCCAGTTAGTTTTGCAAGGGCCAAACTTAGCACAGAGTCAAAACGGAGCTTCGGAGTCTGAACCGACCAAAACGAACAAAATTTGCTCCCTGCAAAGGCTCACCTCCCGTTCGCTCCTCCTTTATGTCTTATGGGAGGGGCCAATCACCTCCAAGCCTTACTCCCTAGTCGCCCGTTTTGTCTTAACTGTTCTTGCCTTCTGGCAGCTCTGCGCATGGGCACAGTGGGAACAGGCTCACACTGTTCTTCTGCCTCGCTGGTATCAGACTCCGGAGGCAGCAAATAACTCCCGGAGGCCCCCTCTCTGCCTCCGACGCAGAGCCCTCGTCCGAGCCTCCCCCAGACTCCTGGACTGGCCCATGTCCCTCCCCAACCTCCTCGCTGACTCCGACTCGGCTGCCAGCTCCACTGACGAACTGGCGGGCCACAACCCTTAATCTTAAAGTCACCTTCCTTATCTGCATTGATTATTTAATATTTATTGTGCGGTAACATAAACTAAACTCTTGTGCGACCTTAGAGCCTTTACCAGAATGGAGACACCAAGGATCGCTTGTGCTCAAAAGGGCGAGTTTTGGCCCTTTGAGTTAGTCCTTGACTTACAACTGCCATTTAGTGACCGTTTGAAGTAGCTGCACTGGAAAAGCGACGCATGGCCGTCTTCCACACACTTAACGACCATTGAGCAAAATTCGGACGCTCGGCTCGTCGTATTTACGACGGTCGGGAGTGTCCTGGGGAATCACGTGGTTCCCCTTTCGCGGCCTCCCGACAAGCAAAATCGACGGGGGAAGCTGGGTTCACTTAATGACCGTGGGAGTAACTGAACCCCCTGCACCGATTCATTTAACAACTGTAGCAAAAAAAAATAAAGAGGTCGTAACATGCAGCAAAGCTCACTCGGCAGAGGATTCGCCTAGCAACAGAATTGGGGGGGGGCTCCCTTGTGGTCGTAAGCCGAGGACTATCTGTAATTGTGTTTACACACAAACACACACACACACACACAAATGCAGAATGTTTAGCTTCTGAGGCGACCCAGTTTCGTTATTCGACCCCAACCAAAATTTCGTATTCCGTACCTGAACCGTGGTGGATTTTATCGAAACGTGATGGAAATGCGCCGCGCGATAAATTCATAAACTGTCATTTTTACTCCCCCCCCCCCCCCCCCACGTAGGTCATCCCATCGGCTACGTCCTGTACTACAAGGGATACTGCATCAACCACGGGAAATTGGTGTATTTGGAAAACATCTACGTGGCGCCGGAATTTCGGGGTAGGTTAAAAAATGATCCCCTTGGATTCACCAGGAGTCGCGTGAGAGGATCATAAATGGAAATAAACAGACAAAAGAAGCAAAATAAGTTATCTATCTATCTATCTATCTATCTATCTATCTATCTATCTATCNAAACTAGAACTCCCCGTCTCCTGGTCATTGGCACAAAATCACTTATCTGCCTTCTTGCCTAAGACAAGACTAGAATTCCCCGTCTCCTGGTCATTTGTGCAAAATTACTCAGCTGGTTTTCTTGCTCAAGATGAAACTAGAACTCCCTGTCTCCTGGCAGTTGGCCCAAAATCAGTCAGCTGGTTTTCTTGCCCAAGATGAAACTAGAACTCCCTGTCTCCTGGCAGTTGGCCCAAAATCACTCAGCTGGCTTTCTTGCTCAAGACAAAACTAGAACTCTCTGTCTCCTGGTCATTGGCCCAAAATCACTCAGCTGGCTTTCTTGCCCAAGATGAAACTAGAACTCTCTGTCTCCTAGTTGTGGGCCCAAAGTCATTCAGCTGGCCTTCTTGCCCAAGATGACACTAGAACTCCCCGTCTCCTGGTCATTGGCACAAAATCACTTATCTGCCTTCTTGCCTAAGACGAGACTAGAATTCCCCGTCTCCTGGTCATTGGCCCAAAATCACCCAGAAACTATAACTCCTAATCTCTTGGTCATTTGCCCAAAATCATTCAACTAGCTTTCTTGCCCAAGACAAAACTAGAACTCTCTGTCTCCTGGTCGTTGGCCAAAAATTACTCAGCTGGCTTTCTTGCCCAAGACAAAACTAGAATTCCCTTTCTCCTGGTTATTGGCCCAAAGTCATTCAGCTGACCTTCTTGGCCAAGATGAAACTGGAACTCTCTGTCTCCTGGTCATTGGCACAAAATCACTTATCTGCCTTCTTGCCTAAGTCAAGACTAGAATTCCCGTCTCCTGGTCATTGGCCCAAAATCACTCAGCTGGCCTTCTTGCCCAAGACGAAACTAGAACTCTCTGTCTCCTGGTCATTGGCCCAAAATCACTCAGCTGGCTTTCTTGCTCAAGACGAAACTAGAATTCCCTGTCTCCTGGTTATTGGCCCAAAGTCATTCAGAGCCAAGGTGGCGCAGTGGTTAAATGCAGCACTGCAGGCTACTGCTAGATCAGCAGGTCAGCGGTTCAAATCTCACCGGCTCAGGGT